AGGCGTAGCAATCTGCTTCTGTAAAGAAAGTGATGTGGAGCAAGTCTGTGACACAGAGGATCCCCTAGAGATGGAATCAACTCAACAGCAACAGATTTGGATTTTTTTTTGAATAGTAGTTTTATTTGTTTGGTTTTTTAATTTATTTATTTTTTTTTTATTTTATTATTTTTGTGTGAGTGTACCGTCAAATCAGATCTGACTGGTACAGGAGGAGATTGTCCCTCCTTTTCCCGGCAGAGCATCTGGTGGATTCGAACCGTGTGCCTCTGGGATTGTAGTTGCAGCTCCTTGCCACTAGGCCACCAGAGTTCCCGAGATTTGGATTTTAAATCCAGGGCCTCTCATCTCTAAAGGCACCTCTTTCATCCTCTGTTTCTATTTAATCCCTGTAAGATACAGAAAATGTCTACCATAACCTCCCTTCCAAATGCTTTTCCTTCTCAGTCTACTGTAGGACAAGGTCCCTCCCACCTCATCTCCTCTCCACAGATTAAGGACAGCGCACCAAAGGAGACTGAACAACACTAGGGGAGCGACCTGTTATTATCATGCTATCAGGTCCCAGAAGCCACGCCACTCCTTTATTTTTTTAAAAAAACTTTTTTTTTGCCACTCCTTTATTTTTAGGTTACCTTTATTCCCAAGTCCTGACTTCCTTTCAGGGTCCTGTATACACACCTGATGAGAATACCTGTGTGTAATGCAGATGACAACACAATTCAGTACTCAATCATCAACACACAGAAAAAGCATGCCAAAAGACAACATATGATCAAAGTGTAAAATACGGCTTGATGATATTAAGCAGAGAATGAGATGGGAATGTTCCTTCAGACACAAAGTTGGGCTGTGTGAGTTTGTGACACATACAATTAACCATCTAACAGTATGCAGGAAACCCTGAATCAGCTTCAAGATCCAATCCCCTGTTTACTTAAATTTGCCTGAGAATATGAGGGCAGCACGCAGTCACTATAGGAATGATTTGGAGCTGAGAAGCAATCAAGGTGAAGGGCAGTAATTGAACATTTTTCACACGAGCTGGGAGATGCTACCTTTGTGCTAAAATTACTGCAAGGAACTCCTCAAGTCTGCCTGGAGACAAATCTAACTGTTCAAACAAAAGTAAAGAGTTTGAGAACCAGATTTCATTCTCCTTTGAAAGTCTGCAAAAGGCCCTTTCCTAGATTGACGACACACACCACACACGCACCAGCAGGGGGTGCCATATGCCACAGAACCTGCAGAGGCCAGGAAGAGGCCACCAGTCTAGGAGGGAGGGCGCAACAAAGGAGCTCCTCATTGCCATTGAGTCAAGTCAGAATAGACTCCCACAGGACCTTCCACTTGGTTTCCAACGCTGTAACTCACACTGGAGGAGTTTGCTCATCAGGAGCTGCTGGTGATTTGGGTTAGCAGTCCTAACTCCCCACAAATTGCACTTGCCAAAAAGCTCAACTCATGCCATGGAGTTGAGACACTCACAGCTGACCCTCCAGCAGGTTTTCAGAAGCTGTGAATCACACAGAAGAAGACTGCCCATTGTTCTTTCTGGTGGATTCCAACTGCCTGACTATAGGTTGGCAGCGCCACTCCTTCGCCACTATGCCACCAGAGCCCCCTAACGAGCAACTGTTGTGTGTGCCATCAAGTCAGAATCAACCATAGCTGACCCTCCAGCAGGTTTTCAGAGGCAGTTAAGCAGCACAGGAGGAGACTGCCCATCCTCCACCCAAGGAGCAGGTGGTGGATTTGGAAGACTGCCCATCCTTCTCCCTTGCGCAGTTTCTTACCCCACCAGGCCACTAGAGTTCCCTTTAAGCAACTAGGCAGCCAAATTGCATTCATTCAATGCAGAAACAGATTCTAGAGAAGAATGAAAGGATAAAAGAATTAACTCTGGTGCAATCACTGTGGAAGGCAGTATGGCACTTTCTCAAAAAGTTGCAAATAGAGATACCATTTGACCCAGCAGTTCCACTACTGGGAATATACCCCAAAAAGACCGTAACTGACATCCAAGCAGATATATGCACACCCATGTTTATTGAGGCTTTGTTCACAATAGCAAAGTACTGGAACCAAGTGCCCATCAACAAACAAATGGATAGAGAAGCTGTGGGATATTCACACAATGGGACACTTCGCTGCACTGAAAAACAAGGAATTCATGACATATTATTCAAAATGGGTGACCCTGGAGGACATTACGCTGAGTGAAATATCTCAGTCACAAAAGGACAAATACTGCATGGTGCCACTGTTGTAAAGCAGGACTGACCTTGGGGTTGGGGAGAGACTGAGAAAGATGGGTTCAATAACGTATACTGCATTGAAACAGATGAGGGAGAGAACTGTTTAAAAGGGATATGTGATTAGGTATTTTTGTCATGACAGGAGTCCAGAGCGAAGGCTGGATAGTGCAGTGGACCTGGGGGAGGGACTGTAAAACAATAAAATAATTTTACTTTTTCAAGAGGGTGGTATACTGAGGGGGGGAGGGCTGGGAGGGGAGAAAAGTGCAACAATGAATGAATGGAAATTCAAAGTCTCTGTCAATTTTCATTGAAATTAATAATAATAAAAAAAATTAACTCAGCACATCCTGAATGCCTTTAGGTGATCCCAAAGTACACAAGACCTACTCCCTGCTCTAAGGGAGCTAACATCCTTATCCTAAGGAGAAAATCCCTGGAACATCAGAAAAGCAGGGTGGATTCTAAAAGAAAGGCGACTCTGTTGGAAAAAGATACATTCAGTTAGTGTTCTAAACTTTGCTACTCACAATAATCAGGAGAGATTTTATAAAACCATTGTCAAGAGTCAGAACACCACTGTAAATCTTACCAGGAGGATCCTGCTCAGACTCTCCCTTAGAGCATCTACCTGGTGGATAGGAATCACCAATGCAGGCTTTTGGTTAGCAGTGCAACACTCTACACACTAAGTCACCACAGTATCTGTAAAAAATTAGGGACCCTCCAGCTCAGACAGAAGGATTCAGAACTCCAAACACCTGAACATGACTGTGCTGCCCAGCTGATTTTTTTAATTAGTAATATTGTTTAATTCCCTCAAAAGTTATTACAACAAAACTCACTATACAGAAGAGACTCCATAACTGGCCCAAGGCCAAACTGTAATAAGAAAAGCCCACACAAGCCCAAATCAAGAAGTTAAGTCAGGTCAAAGAGCATGAATAGTTTTCTTTTAAATCCACTGTTGAGACATGCAAGTACATTCCAATGTCTCACCGCCACAAGTGCTGAGCAAAGATCAATGTTTTTTTCAACTTTTCAAAGACTTTCACAAACTAATTCAGAAACCACATAAAAATGTATCTTCAACGGTCATCATAGGATTGGTGACAAGAGAGAAAAGGCAAAGGCTCATTAATCAAAAGAGACTCATTACATGAAATGACACTACAGAAACAGGATTTTAAAACTTGGGTGTATTTAAATATAGTAGGTGAGAAAAGTTGATTTGTAAAATACTACACATAGTATGATTCCACATGGGCTTCCAAGACTGGAACTCTTTATGGAAGCCTCATCTTTCTCTTGAGGAGTCGCTAGTGGGTTCAAATCATCTACCTCCTGGAACTGGCTGCCAGGGCATCTTGGCTTTTGATTAGAACTAATTTAGAAAATAGCAAGAGAAGTGTTGTGAGACCTGATCAAATCCTTGCTAGAGACCTGTACATTGTTTAGCGTGTAGCAAGAAACCTGATCTCTCTACCAGACTTCATAGAAATTCTCACCAGCATCAGCAAAGATTTGAAAGCTCCACAGATTCCACTACTATCATGACAAGCTAAGGCTGTTTGCTCTCCTGAGAAAGATACAACAGCATCAAGTGCTTTTTTCACTCGGAGGAAAAGCCAATGTCTTTACGGAGAGCTACCTGCCCTTATTTGCCTCTTCAAGCACTGCAAATTTGCCCAGCCTCAGGGCCTTTGCATGCGCCACTCACTCTAACAGAATTCTTGGATCCTAGATGGTTGTTGTTAAGTAACATGGAGTTGCTTGCGACTCATAGCGACCCTATTTACAACAGCTCTGAACCCTGTTCTATCCTGTGCCAACCCCGTCGTCTCCAACACACCTAATCCCGTTACCCCAGTCACTGAGGCAATCCACCTTACCCAAGGTTTTCTCAATATTCCGAGTCTATCCTCAAAGTTCAACTACTCCATGATGTCCATCATGCAATCTACCCTCTCATTCCCCTCCATCGCCTCACTCTTTTTGTCTAAGACAGTCATCTTCTTACAAGGTACACTTTATATTACAGACCTTTTTTCTTTTCCATCTACTGAAACTCTCCAACGTAAACTCCACAAAAGGAGTGCTTTTTCTCTTATTCACTCGTGAAAACGTGCACTGTTGGTGACGTGATTAAAGCAACCTGGGGAACAGCCTTGGAAAACCGCATGCAAGATGGACTGACAAAGTGACTGTAACAATGGCTGAGCAGGACAGAGCTGAGGACGGTGCAGGTTCATTGGGTCGCTATAAGTCGTCATCGACTCCACGGCACCTAACAGTATGATGGAGTACGGTTTTATGAAAAACGAAAGTTAGTCTGAAATGTCCAAAACCTTCAGTGGAAAACCATTTAAAAGTTTGGAGATCATCTTTCTCTTTCCTCACCTTAACTGTCTTTCTGCCAGTATCTCTGCTAACCAAGTTTGGGAACCTCTTAGAACCATAATGGGGAGTCCTTTCCTAAAATAAACTTATTTTCCTCATTGGCAAAAAAAAAAAAAAAAGTAAGATTCTTGGAAGAAGAGCTTAAAAAAAAAAACCCACAAAAACCCCGACCGAACATTGCTGCTGTTGAAATACTGAGGAGCTTCTACACAAAAAGCAAGCCAAGAGTTAGTACCTGCGGATCAAAATACAAAACTAAAACGGTAAGACATCAGCACCGGGGGATGCACCGCGCGCGCACTCTCCCTCCCGCGCAGCCCCGCGCCGGGCTCGCGCCCTCACCGACTCCCCGAGACTGTCCTGGATGTTCCTCCACTGGGAGGGCACCGACACCACGCCCAGGGTCTCATCCTGCAGCGGCCCGGCCCCCTCGGCCCCCTTGCCGCTCTCATCCCCACCAGCCGCCAGAGCCTCAATATCCATGAGGGTTCTCTGACGGATCCACCGGGGCTGAAGGAGGTTGCTATGGTAACGGCTCCGCCCATTTGCCTGGAACACGCTGGTGTGACCTTCGGCCCCACGTATCCGAAACCGCAAGATTAGGGGTGTGAAGCTGGAGGCGCCATTTTTTAGCTGGGCAAAGCTCCACTTTCAAATCTCAAGAGAAATAAAAAAAAAAATGAGTCTTTTCCGCGAGTTCAATATTATTGGCCCAATATTCTATTTTCATAAATACGCACGCTTGTGGTAGACTCGAATAGTTATCCTAGAGGAGCGCAAAAAGTATGGCGCATGTGCCAGGTTCAAAAATGGCGTTGGGTGAGCAAGCGCAGAGAGGGGGGCAGGAGGCGAATGGTGGGCCCTGGCTTTGCAGACCCCGCGGCTGTTCTTTGTAGGTCCTAGAACTGCACTGCACCCAGTGACTGCTGCCCGAAAGGCAAATGGTTTTCCTCTAGTACCCAATTTCCCGCTCAGTAGGATGATGATTTAAAATGTCTATTATGATTAAATACATAAAAACCAATAGAAGATGCATACTAAAAAAACAAAAGAAATTTTTGTTAAATTGGAATTGGAAAAACTTAAAATTATTGAATACTATATATCAAAAAAGCTCTGGTGGCAACCTATTGCGTAACCTACTGTGCTATGCTATGAAACGTCAACAGTTCGAAACCACTGGCTGCGCCCCGAAACTCTGGATTGTATCCTGCTATAAAGATTTACAACCTCGAAATCTAAGGGCAACTAGCCAGATGTAAGTTTTGTGTACTATATGTCAGACAAAGACCCAGGACTTTGTACATGTTTATTTTATTAAATTCTCACATTTCTTACCTAAGGAAGTTAACAAGTATTTACTTATAGTTATGTTGCTAATGTTATTATGTGCCCTCGAAGTCGCCTGCGACTTATAGCGACCCTATGTACAGTAGCTCTGAAGTCAGCCCTGTCCTGAGCCTGTATCACTAACTCCAACACACATACCCCCATTATTCCAGTTACTGTATCAATCTATCTCATCTAGAGTCTTCCTCTCCTGAGAAGTCCCTCCACTCTTCCAAGCATGTCCTTCTTCAAAGACCGGTCCCTCCTGGCCACATCCCCAAAATATGGAAGATGGATCTTCAAAATCCTAGCCTCCAAGAAGAAACTTGGTTTCATCCTCTCCAAAAGAGACTTGTTTTCCGTGGTATGTTCAAGACTCTTATCCAGCACCACACTCAATCAGTTCTTCTGTCATCCTTGATTGTGGTCTAGTTCGCTGGTGCATAGGAAGTAATTGCAAAATCCATGGCCTGGATCAGGTACACCTTATTCTCTAGACTGAAATCTAAATCCTAAGAGAACAACCACCAGTCACCCACTAAAGCTGAAGTCACATTTACCTAAGACCTTACAGAGGGGCCATCAAAGTCCAGTTCTGAGCCCCTCAGGAATCACTCAGTGTGATTCTTCCTATCACTGAACTCTCTGATGGAAATCTGCCCAGTTGGTTTCTTTGCAACACTCTGTCACTGAATACTCCTTAGGACCTTGTTCCATCCAAGGCCAAGAGGACTGATTAGATTAGCAACACTGCAAAGAAAGGAATGCAACAGAAATTTCTTCCTAGAAAGAAAGCAGAACTAGACAAAATTCTCCTTGTGAGGCCCTCTTAACTCTAAAAGAATTTGCAAACATCACTAGGATTAAAAAAAAAAAGTCACACTAAAAGCTATAGGATTCCAGGGACCTGGATTTGGAGCCTTTTTAAATGGGCTCAGTACTTTTCTTTACCTTGATTTGTCAGCTGAAAGTAAGACTAATAAAACCAGACCTGATTTACCTGATCAAGGCAGGAGAGCATTTTGGGAAAAGAAGAATGCTCCAAGATATTAAAGATAAAGCCAGAAAAAAATCAACGAAATTAACCTTTTTAATGCTATCTGGGGACCATGGAAAGAACAATTTTCTGGTATAGTGAGAACCAAAGCCAGACTACAGAGAGTTGAAGTAGAAAAAGTAACGGTGGCATGGTGGTTATTGAGAAGCCAAACACAGGAAGCAGGTGTGAATGTAAATTGGTAAAACCTATTTGAAGGGTAATTTAGCCTTAAAATGTGACTGCTCTTTAAACCAGAAATCCTGTTTCTGAAGACATTTTTCCTGAGCCAATAGTTACAGATGCATACACATGCAAATTGAGCAGCCCCAAGAATATTCATCCCACCAAAATCCACCCCCTGCTATTGAGACAATTCTGATGGCAATCCAGAGGAGGATTGCCCCAAAGAATTTCCAAAGCAGTAAAGCTTTAATAGAAGCCTCATCATTCTTCTGTGGCTAGGGAGTTCAAACTGTCAGAGTTTTTGGTTAGCAGCTGAATGCTTTAACCACAGCTTCAACTGAGGTCCCTGGAATATTTAGCAGCACTGCATTAATAATAATAGCGCTATGATTCCCCTAAACTATTAATTACCCTTAAGTAATTTTTAAATCCCAAACCAAAAACATCCCTTGAAGTTTCCTTAAAACGATAGTTTAGCTTAACTAGTATTGAAAAGAATTGGAAGACACAGAAGAATTTCATGAAACAACATATGAGCAAGAGCCTATGGTGATGAAAGAA